ATTTAAAAAAAGCTGTAGATCGCCCGCGTGGGCGAAAAATGGCGGGAAAAAGCACATCGGAACCGGGAGAGGAAACTGAAGACTACTTGGAAGCAGTTGACAGGTAAAACGCTTCAGCCCCGTTTCCTAAACAAGACAGAAGCGCTTGTGTCTGAAATTACAAATATATTCCGGTAGGGAACCGGTTCTAAAACGGTTCTGTCTGAAATGACAGACCAGAAACCGTTTGGGAACTGTTCCTCTTCTGGAATATATGGTCTGTCTGAAATTCCTCTATATCAATGAAAAAAAAATCCCCCTAATAGAAGAGCATCTCTGTCCCCCTGGGTCTCTGAGCTGCTTTTCACTTCTTGAGGGGAGACACAGGTGGCCATTATCTTTTCCTCTGTGGGGCAAAAGGCAGCGTGAAGAGAACACAGTGGATAAATGTCCCAGGTGGAGGAAGAAAGTGTTTCTTCCCCTCACGTGAAGTTCCAATGCAGCTACCTGTGGCGGTTTTGAATTTTAAACAATGGAGAAAACATGCATGCCACTGACGCCTAGTAAAGGATGCCATGGATTTCACATCAAATACATTCCAGTTTACTCTGTTCAATGGCGATGGTTAGGTGTGAGCCGGTCGCCTGGTCTCTTTGGTTTGGTACTGAACGACTTGAACGTGACATTTTGCACATGTGCGCTTACAAGTAACTTAGAAGTGCCGTGTCTAGCTATGGATACTGGCCTGGAGGCCGTTGCTCCTCCTGTAGAGAACAAAAAGTTTTCTCTTGATGGGAAAAAGAAGAAGAGAAGAGAGAAGAGATTGGATTTATACCCTGTCCTTCACTACCCGAAGGAGTCTCAGAGTGGTTTACAATCTCCTTTCCCTTCCCCCTCCCCACAACAGACACCCTGTGAGGTAGGTGGGGCTGAGAGAGCTCTCTCGAGAACCACTCTTGAGAGAACAGCTCTGAGAGAACTTGTGACTGACCCAAGGTCACACCAGCAGCTGCATGTGGAGGAGTGGGGAATCAACCCCGGTTCTCCCAGATTAGAGTCCGCACACTTAACCACTACACCAAACTGGCAGGATGGGCAGGAATCCTTTGCACAACAAGTGTGGAGGGATTTCTACCCATTCGCCCTTCTGGCTGCAGCCCCTCTGAGGAGTTACTTAGGAGGGCATGCTGGTAGGGTTACCAGGTCCACGAGGAGGAGTGAGGCATCAAACCCGGTTCCCCCGGATTAGAGTCCGTGCTCTTAACCGCTACACCAAACTGGTGTGACTCCGCTGCTCAGAAGGAAGTATGTCGCAAAACTTTGAAAATCCCACTGTGAGGCCGGGAGAGAAGGCCCTGGGAAGGAGGACGTGGAGAGAGGCAAGACGGCACAGGAGGGCTTCCCGCCTAAAGCTGCCCATAGATGGCACCAGGGGGTGCTCCTCCCCAAAAGGCCTTCACTAGAGGTGTTCTCTGCCACGCCCCCCCCCCCCAATTGTACCACGAGGCAACTTTGGGAAGGAGGAAGTAGCCATCAAACGGATCTTTCCTCTCCCTCTCCCTGCTTGTTAACCTTTCTTTTTGGAAGACTTCAGGATAAAAGTTGAGGCCAGGGCTTTTTTGGTAGAAAAAGCCCAGCAGGAACTCATTAGCATAACAGGCTTCACCCAACAGCAGAAACTCCTTAGCCTATTAGGCCACACCACACCACTCATTAGCATATTAGGCCATACCTAATGTTACTCCTTAGCCTATTAGGCCACACCACACCACTCATTAGCATATTAGGCCACACCTAATGTTACTCCTTAGCCTATTAGGCCACACCACACCACTCATTAGCATATTAGGCCACACCTAATGTCACCAGAGGTGTGGTCATCCAGCCACGCCCACCTTTTGCTTCTTATTCTGTTTACCTTGTTTGTTGTCAAAACCCAGGGCCTTTTTGGTAGCAGGAACTCCTTTGCATGTTAGGCCACACACCCCTAATGTAGCCAATCCTAATGAATTTCTGCTGTTGGGTGTGGCCTATTATGCTAATGGGTTCCTGCTGGGCGTGGCCAACTCGGGAGCCAGCCGGAACTCCGTTCCTGTGCGTTCCTGCCCAAAAATAGCCCTGGCTGAGGCCATTTGCAGTTTCCTGTTGGAAGCTCCCAGCAATCTGTTAAAACGTTAAATGGAAACAAGGCCCTCAGTCACAATTTGAACCCGATACTTGGCAGAGAACGCTTGGCTACCCATTCCGCAGCGGCTGAGACGGTCTGCTTTTTGTCGTAAACCTTTGAAGGCCGATTTCGTCCTGTGGAAAGTGGAGCCTGGGGAGGGTGGACTTTGGAGAGGGGAGGGGATAATTTCATGGAGTCCACCTTCCGAAACAGCCATTTTCTCTGAGGGAACTGATCTCTCGAGTCTGGAGATAAGCTGTAACTCCAGGACGCCTCCAGGCCTAGTTTGGCTGTGAAGGCAAAAGACGCCTCCCCCTATTTCAGTAGCAGTCGCTACGCAAAGACAGAGGCTGGTCAAAGTCGCTAATTAGAAGTTCAGTATCTTCAACAGGCGTACATTCCTGTGTGTGCATGCCCCCGTCCTCCTTGTCACACACGGCGTATTCCTCCTGATCCTGCTGTTTTAGGTGCCGAAGGATTTCCTTGGACAGGAAATGCTTGTCGTTTTCTCCCGAGTCTGGAAGAACAAAATGAGATGTTAACTTGTTTCTGAGGAGAAGGTGCAGGGGGGGGGGGTTCAACAGCTGAGGCAGGGTTGCCAGGTCCCTTACCTTTTCCGGTGGGAGTGGGTGGGTTTAGTCCCAGTTCGGGACATTCGTGTGCACCGTGATGACGTCACCCGGAAGTAGGGTTGCCAAGTGTAATTTCCTCTGGAGCGGGGGACTCCCATCTGGGGTCTGGAGCGCGCGCATGCGCCACACGCACGTCACCTGGAAGTGATGTGACGACGCCGGGCACGCTGGGGGCAGGGCCACGAGCATCCAAGGGAAACCATAGAGTTTTCCCTCGGATGACAGTGCCCCCGCCCTCAGCATGCCCGGCATGGCCGCGTCATTTCGAGGTGACGTGCACGTCGGGGTGGGGTTCCCCCCGGGGCCCGATCCGCCAGCGGTGGGGAACGGGCCTCTGGAGCGGGGGTTTTCCCGCCCCCCCGGGGGGACTTGGCAAGCCTACCCGGAAGTGACGTCATCATGCCAGGGATATTCGTTACCAGAATAGTTTGGAGAATTTGTGCAGTTACAATCTATGGCCCATTATACAAACTTTTAGGAACTGCAAAGAGTATGAGAAAGCAACACCTGGCTCTATAGAAAAAAAATTTTATGCATTTATTTCTGGATGTGTGTTATTGTACAATAGGAATATTGACCACTGAGGAAGGCCCAAAGTGGCCAAAATGCGTACGATCTATTGGTCAAAAATTTTACCCATCAATTGGACATGTGTAACTATCAGCTCTGAATGTAATAAGCTTGAAGAGTCTGATATCTGGACTATTTATTTTAACCTTATGTATGTTTTGTTTATGTGTACACCATAATAAATATTTATATTTTTATAACAATTTATTTGTTAGCTTGACCCTCTTAGATCACATCCCACAAAAGGAAACCATCACACCATGGGAGAGCCAACCCAACCCCACTGCCTCCCCCACTCCCACCGTTCACAACCAGCCGTCTATCCAGGGGTCAATTCCTGCAGGAGCGCACAGGAGCGGAGCTCCGGCAGTAAAGAGCCCAGGGGGTGGGCACATGCAACAAGCCCCACCTCCTGCTCCCAGCAGCCCTCATTCAGAGCAAGAAACAGCCAGGTAAGTTGCAGAGCCCTCCCCCTGGTCCCCCGGTCCCAAACAGTCCAGTGGCACCTTGAAGACCAAGTTTTATTCAGGTACAAGCTCTCCCTCCTCTGCGAGGACAGATCTGCACGTCCCCCCCCCCAATAGCTAGCAATCCAAAACAGTCCAGTGGAGCCTGAGCGGTGGGTGTTGGCTTCTGACACACTTCCGGTGATGTCAGGGGGTGTGGCTTATGCAAATAAGTTATGCTAATGAGCTCCTGCACCTCTTTTTCTAGGAAATGACCCCTGCTTCTGGCTCCCTTCTTACCATCGTATACAATGAGCTGGTAGCAGCCAGAGCACTCTTTGGATTTCTCTAAGATTTCCTCCAGCGTCCTGCAGAAGAGCTTGGCTTGTTCCAGACGGGCCTGCCTGCTGAAAGCGGCGCTGTCGTCTTGGGACATGGCGTGGAGGGACTGCAGAGGGGTGGCGTACTCTACCACACAATAATGCGTCTAGAGGAATGCGGAAAGGGAAAGATCTGAGTGGCATTCTGCCTGTGGAACTGCTGCCCGCTTCCCTTCCCTGGACAGCATTCCCGGAACTGTGTAACTGGTAAGAAAATCCAAGAACCCGTTGAGGAGGTGAGACAGCCCAGATGTGCGATGCAGTTAACCAGTTCCCAAGGTCAGCCTTCATGCTTTAGGAAATCCTCATTTGCTTAGTCAAGGAGGTCTACATAGCATAAAGGCTTTTAGACAAAGGTCGAATCTGCATTTTCATTTTTAAATCAGTTTCGTGCTGCTGTGATGCCGTCTTTCTCTATGCTTGTTTGAACGTCGTTTGGAGAAGATTCATTTAAAGCAGTGCAGAGGCACAGTGACAGTGGAGCCGCCACGAGAGGGTGATAAACATATGCAGACATGCAAAAGTATGCTGGCACTGTTGAGGTGTGAAAACGAAACCACGAGAGGGCGATAAACATATGCAGACATGCAAAAGTATGCTGGCACTGTTGAGGTGTGAAAACGAAACCAAATGTAGACGGGTTTTTTTGAAGACGGAGTCGGAAGGCTGGGACACCGGTGGGAAAGACAGATGCAGATTCGACCAAAATAGTGTAGCGATAGATTTCAGGTGGGTAGCCGTGTTGGTCTAAAGCAGCAGAACCAAGTTGGAGTCCAGTGGCACCTTTAAGACCAACACAGTTTCATTCTGGGTATAAGCTTTCGTGTGCGTGCAGTTTTTTTAGCCTCCGGCTCACCCATTTTTGTCTCCGCTCAGGAAGAATGGCTCCAGAGCAAGCTAATTTAATGCATTAGCCAAATCGCCCACTCACAACTTTAACGCCTGTAGCTCACAAAGTATAATTTTTTCTCGCAAGACTCCACGGCTTAGAGGGAGCATTGGGGAGCAGTGTTCCCTCTAAGCTGAGTTAGTGTGAGCTAGCTCACAGTTATTTTAGCCTCCGGCTCACCCACTTTTGTCTCCGCTCAGGAAGGAGGGCTCCAGAGCAAGCTAATTTAATGCAGCAGCCAAAGCGCTCGCTCACAACTTTAATACCAGTAGCTCACAAAGGAGAATGTTTGCCTACAAGACTCCACAGCTTAGAGGGAGCATTGCCTGTGAGGTAGGTTTGGCACAGAGAGAGAGAGAGAGGGGGGGGGGACTGGCCCAAGGTCACACTGACTGCTTCACGGCAAGCAGGGATTTGAACCTGGGTCTTTCCAGCTTTAGTCTGACACTCTAATGGTGACTCCAGGCCCCTCTTACTAGTGAGCCTCCTGGTATAATATCCAGAAGGTATTAAGTGGGCAGGATCATCTGCTATTTCCTCAGCAGGAGAACAGGCAGCGAGCAGTGTTCCCTCTAAGCTGTGTTAGTGTGAGCTAGCTCACAGTTTTTTAGCCTCTGGCTCACACATTTTTCTCTTAGCTCAGGAAGGGATGGCTCCAGAGCAAACTCATTTATGCAGCAGCCAAATCGCTCACTCACAACTTTAATGCCAGTAGCTCACAAAGTAGAATTTTTGCTCACAAGACTCCACAGCTTAGAGGGAACATTGGCAGCCAGTGGCCCAGCGGAATACCAGTGGAACCAGTATGCCTGTTTCATTGCTTGCTGGGGAGCACAGGCAGGGTGACGCTGCCGCAGTCTTCCTGTTTGTGGGCTTCCTGGAGGTTGCTGGTTGGCCGCTGGGTTGACAGAATACTGGACGGGATGGGCTTTTGGTCTGATCCAAAATGGCTCTACTTATGTTCTTATGAGGGCCTGGACATGGTGAAGCTCCCTTCGAGCAGAGACACACCCATTGCCCTCCCTAGCTTATCTGTGCCAGAGGATTCCGAGAACAAAAGAGTGAGGCCAATGAGGTCTGGAAACCTGCTGCTAACAGCAAGGGAGGGGAGACGCTATTTATCCTCAATAAAAAGAGATTTGCCTGCTAAATATGACACCTGTCTCCTTAAAGGTAATTCTAGACCTGGGTAAGGATGACAGCCCTGTATTGTATCCTAGTGACGGATTAGTAAAGGTAAAGGTTTCCCTTGCTCGAAAGCTCGTCAAATCCGACTCTAGGGGGCGGTGCTCATCTCCGTTTCCAAGCCGAAGAGCCAGCACGGTCCAAAGACATTTCCGTGGTCATGTGGCTGGCATGAGGTGCAAGGAATGCTGTTACCTTCCCACCGAAGTGGTACCTATTTATCTACTTGCAATTTCTTGCTTTTCGAACTGCTTGACTGGCAGGAGCTGGGGCCAGAGACGGGAGCTCACTCCATCACTCCTTCCAGTCTGCAGCTCAGTGCATTAATCTCTGAGCCACCGCGGCCCCCCAAAGGACCAATGTCCTTAGGCGATGTCCTTCAGCCAGCACTGAACAGTATAGTTACTGGTTGCCTGAAAATGGGTAAGAGTCAACACCAAAAACTCCAGTTCTGCTTCAAGTCGGTTTGGAAGCCAAAAGCACAGGATTACAGTTCTGGGAAGGAGGAGCAAGAAAGTGCAAGTCCTGCTTATGTAGTAAGCTTAAGAGGAATGGGCTTGCCTCATATTTGTGTGACTGACATCTATTCACTGATGTCACGTGTGTCGATGGAGGGCCAACAGCCAGAAATTGCTAGTTATCTAGTCTAACCCCTGCCGTGGCAGAATGCGGCCATGACAACTGGCCAGATAGACCAGCTCAGAATTTTTTGAGACGGAGTAGAGCACGAATGAATGAACAAACAAAAGAAAAGTATTTTCAGCCTTTCTCATTCATCTGATTTCACTGCCATATTGCTATTACGGTACCAGGGCTATTTTTGGGTAGGAACACACAGGAACGGAGTTCCGGCTGGCTCCCAAGTTGGCCACGCCCAGCAGGAACTCGTTAGCATAATAGGCCACACCCAACAGCAGAAACTCATTAGGACTGGCTACATTAGGGGTTCTGTGGCCTAACATGCAAAGGAGTTCCTGCTACAAAAAAAGGCCCTGGGTTTTGACCACAAACAAGGTAAACAGAATAAGAAGCAAAAGGTGGGTGTGGCTGGATAACCACACTTCTGGTAACATGGGGGTGCGGCCTAATATGCTAATGAGCTGTGTTGTCAGGGGTGTGGCCTAATATGCTAACGAGTTTCTGCTGTTGGGTGTGGCCTATTATGCTAATGAGTTCCTGCCGGGCTTTTTCTACAAAAAGAGCCCTGACGGTACCGCTCTTGTTCATAGTTCTTACCCCTGCAGATTGAAAGAATGTTTTCGGTTATCCTCAAAGGCACCGCATTTTCCATTCCTGACTTGGCTCTCTGGCACAGAATCCTGGGAAATCTGCCTTTCATTTTCACCCAAGGAACAGCATGAGTAATATTGTCTGAGGAAGGGAAGGGATGGGGCTTGACCGAGCACAGGAGGAGGCTGCCGCGGGACTCACCTTTTTGTTCTCACCCAAGACTTCATAGACGCTGTGTTTGTAGGTTCTCCTCTTAATGCCGGCTCGATCCACACTCACTTCTGGGAGGTTGCTTATGAACTGAATACGACTGTCAGCCTCCCCCAAGCTATCGTACACCTCACAGGTCAGGGGTATCAGGATGTGGAGTTTCCAAGTCTTCTTGCATTTCAGCAAACAATTGTTATTTTCGTTGAAAACACGAATCGAATCTTTAAGGTCTTCGTGACAAAGAAAGGCATGGAGGAGGAGGGGAAAAACACACACCTCAGGATGGAGTTAACAGCATGACAATGAACTTTCCAGTTACTGTTGTGTTGCATTTCAGCAAACAATTGTTATTTTCGTTGAAAACACGAATCGAATCTTTAAGGTCTTCGTGACAAAGAAAGGCATGGAGGAGGAGGGGAAAAACACACACCTCAGGATGGAGTTAACAGCATGACAATGAACTTTCCAGTTTCCATGAATATCGTTGGACATTTCTCTGCAATCAGGGATGCAATTTGTTAATTTTGATACCCGTCTGGCATGACAATGAACTTTCCAGTTTCCATGACTATCGTTGGACATTTCTCTGCAATCAGGGATGCAATTTGTTAATTTTGATACCCGTCTGGCAGAATGTGTTTCAGTACCCTGCCTTTCTTCTAAGGAGAGAGGGACTGTCTGTGGCTGCGATCGCACGCGCCTTTAGATCTGACATAGGTGCGAATGCCCGACGGATCTTTCTCACAATACAAGAACTCGTGGGCACTCCATGAAACTGCAGAGCGGTCGGGTTAGAACGGATA